CCGTTGGGGGTCCTGTAATGCTTTAGCCATTAAGTGCCGTGTGAGGTTGGAGGAGGAGAGTCAGAAGTTCCTGCATCATTCATTCATTCATTCATTCATTCATTCATTCATTCATTCATTCATTCATTCATACCTTTATATGGATGCCCAACTTAAGCAATGCAACTCTGGGCAGCGTATAATACTCCAATGAACAAAAATGCCAAAAAAACCTCAATTAGTGATACCAACTAAACACAAATAGTTAAGTGGTGATCAGGGACACAAATTTATTGTGGTCCTCCAGACAGGAATCATCCTGACCTTGTTGCCCGAGGAGATTGTGCGGCTCTGACTTTTAGAGTTTTCCTCCCGTTGCATTTGGGGGGCATCAGGTTGGGGAAAGCCAACGAAGGCCACGTCAAGACTCAACACTAAAAAAAGGTATTCAAAGGCCCTAAAACAGGTTTCTGGCCTTGAGAATTAGGATTAAAGTTCATGGAAGGGAATCTTACTTTGCATTTTGTTTGATTAACACATGATATCGAACGCAGCTGGGCTTCGCTGGCTCAGTTGCTCTTTTCAAGGATGTGAGTCACTGGAGACCGTCTGTTGGTGGCTCTGCTAGCCAGAAATGTGCTTTTGCTTACAATGGCGGATCAACAAAAATAGACATTTGCTGGTGATGCTTTCATTTGACGTCCTGCCCTGAGCCAGGGCGCAATCAATGCCATCTATCAGGACCCCAGAAATGCGCCCTTTCTGTCGCAGCGCCTGCCCTCTGGAATGAGGTTCCCCCCGAGATTTGAACAGCCCCCACCCTAGTGGTGTTTCAAAGGGCCCTGAAGACGTGGCTACTCACTCAGGCCTTTGGCAAGTGATTGAAGCCCCCTTTTCTTCCTTTTCTTTGTTCCCGTCTGGGTTTCTTCTCTCTGCCATCTTTATTTCTTTTGTTTTTACGTTTTTTGTGTTGTCTCTTTTTTAAAAAATGTTTTTCATAATTTGTAAACCGTTCAGAGTTGCTGGGAGTTGGGTGGCATATAAATTTAATAAATTATTATTACCATCGTTGGTCACAGAGTCAGCCAGATATTTAGACTGGATTTGACATTTTTATCCACCTGTTGAGTCTCTCCCAAGGACCTGGGATGATAGCAGTAGTAGTAGTAGTAGTAGTAGTAGTAGTATAGTAGTAGTAGTATTTAGATGGCAGCGTTGGCTCCCTTCCAACTCTGTGGTTCTGCATAGTCTACTTGGTGCTATATGTTTGTCATTGTGATCTGCTGTGATCTCCTTAAAGACGTGCCTGCTCCTGCTCTGGCATGTTCTGGGCCATTGTTGGCAGGCTGAAGGCTGAGGCAGACGGGCAGTTTTACCAGATGGGTGCTGGGAAGTGGTGGTCACCATAGGTTAGCCGCTGCATGTCTCTATGTGGCTGCTATTTGGCTAGCAGGATCTGTTTCCTACCTCCCATAAAAAAGAGAGCTCCGAAGTTCTCTGCACCAAGGAACGGAGTTTACCGTTCGAAGGCCAGCATCTTTTTCTAACCCAAGAGCTTCCTCAAATGTTGGCAAATCAACCGTGGAGCAAGAAATATGGTGTGGATCTTCTCCAAAATGCAAATTGAATAATGCCACCCTACCAGTCCTGGGAGTTTCTTATGCCCAAACTGACTTCCTACAAATTATGTAAAATATGATGACCCAAAGAATCGGGGAGCTGTCTGAGTTTGCCCCTGTTCTTATTTCTTAGTAGAAGTAGACAATATTTCTTGTTCTCTTCAACCTCCCACCTTCCTGCTCATTTTTTATGTTTGCATTCATGCTCATAGAAACAAAAATCTCACTTTATTGTGGACATCTGTCAGCCTTGGTCTGGCCAGATGGAGCCCCCACTTCAGAGCTGTTTCTGTGCTTCGAGGTCAGTTACGCCCTCCTTGCTTCAGTCCTTGAAGAGAGACTGAACAATTCCATGTGTGGGGAAGAAATCGCTTGGGGGCTCTGCAAAAAGATTACGACAAAAATAGCTGTTGGTTTCTGCTTTTTGAGCAACATTTGGTATGGCGGTTCTTTCCTGTCCAAGGAGAACCTTCAACTGATCTCCCCCTTTGGCCTGTAATGTTCCTCATGGGGTGGAAATTTAGTTTCTGATTCACAGAAAATAGAGGTTTGTGGGAAGAACCACCAAGAGAAGAAGAGAGAGAAAGATGGCTTAGATGGGGGGCAGTTTGATGTGGTGATGGTGATACATCTACTCCCTCTTCCCTTGACAGCACTTCAAGTACTGGAAGAGTCATATCATGTCTCCCCTTAGCCTTCTTTTCTTTAGGCCACATGTACCCAGTTCCATTAATCTTCCCTCAGGTGATGTAGCTTCCAAGCTCTTCACCATCTTTGTTGCTCTTCTCTGCACTCTTCCCAGTTCCTGCTTGTATTGTGGCAACCAAAACTGGACCACAATGTTCCAGGGGTGCAGCATACAGGGGTTCTAGCACTTCCCATGATCTGATGGGATATCTCGGTTGGTGCAGCCCCAAACTGCACGGGCTCTTTTGGCAGCTGCAGCACGCTGCTGGCTCACGCTTGATCCGACACTCACAAATACTGTTTCTGAGCCAAATACCTTGTAGCTGGGCATCTGATTTTCCCTACTGAAGGGCAGAACCTTACGTTTCTTGCCACTGAACAGCGTTTTGTTGGAATGGGTCCTATGGCTCACATCTTTCAAGATTCTTTTGAACCTCGAGCTTGCTTTCTGAGATGTTCGCATTCACTCCCAGCTTTGTGTTGTCTGCAGATCCCTTTTATCCTCCTGTGTGAGTCATTTATAAAAATGTTGAATGGCGCTGGGCCCAGGCTCTCTCCATGGAGACCAAGTTCCATTAAGGACCACACGCTGAGCACAGTTGTTTGACCTACTGCAAGTCCATCTGGTAGAGGGACCCTCCATCCCTCGTTTTTCCATTTTCTCAAAAAGGAGGCTGCGGTCAACTTCATCCAATGCCTTACTGAAGTCTAAGTACTCGCAGCATTCATTTGGTCTACTAATCTAGTCACTTTGTTTTAAAAAAGCAGTAATACTTGTCCGGCACAGTGTGTTCTAACTTCGAGTAATCATCTTATTCCTTTCCTTGCAAAGTCATTGCTTGAGGATCTTTTCTAGAATTTTCCCAGGTGTTGAGGTCAAGCTTAGTGATCTGTAGATTCCTGGGTCCACTTTACCCCTCTTTTTAAAAGACTGAAACCGTGTTAACTTTCCTCCAACCTTCTGGCACCTCCCCTGGGCTCCACAAATTCTCAGCAATTGTGTTCAGTGGTTCTGAGATGGATCCACCGGTTCTACCTTAGCGCTCTGGGATGAAATCCATCCAGCCCCGATGACTTAAAGTCATGCAAAACAGTGAACTCTTTTCACACCACTTCCCTACCTGTTTTGACCTGCATTTCCCTTCTGCCCCCCGTGGAGCAGCTTGTGACAGGTTGGACCGCTGTTTCCTTTTGCAAAAAGACTGATGCAACATAGGAATGAAGCAGTTCAGCCTTCTCCCTGTGGCCCATTACCATCCTGTGATTGTCTCCAACCTGTGGACTCACTATTTCCTTGACTTTCCTCTTGTTCCACACATAACCAAATGCTTTTAAATTGTTTTTGGTGTTCATTGCAAGCTTCAGTTCGTTCTTAGCCTTCCCGATCCCATACTTAACAGATTCAGGCTATTCCCTGGTATACTACCTTTGGTATACAGCCTTCTTTCCATTTTTTGAACACTTCCCTTTTATTTCTCTGTTCCTTCCCATCCCTTCTTTCCATACTGCCAAGACAATAGAACCAGAAAATCCAAGAACTGTGTGTATACATGCACATGTCTAATGTGTGTGTCTTCATCCATTTGAACTTGTCACTAAAGTGTTATTCAAAAATTGCCAATAGAATTCACCTCTACATGCGATCTCCCCACCTGTATTGCTTCTGAGAATTTAAATAGATATTCAAAAATGCTCACCCTTGGAAAAGAAACATCAGACATGTCTTGTGAAATGAGTTAGACAAGTCTAGCGGTCCCCAACTAGGTGCACTTCCAGGTGTTGGGATTACAGCATGCAGAATTCTCAGCCAAGATGTCCACTGTTGAGGAACATGGTATGAGAAGGCTGGAGAAACCCAACTAAACTTTGGTGAACGTTAGCATTGAGCTGGGAATTTGCAGCTGGAGTTCTTTGGTCTTCATTACTGCACCATATTGCTTCTTTTGGAGAAACTTGACATCAGTGGGAGAAGATAAGAGTCTATAAGCAGCTTCTAGCTTGCTCTTCAAAATATCTACACAATGTGGGAATGCATTTGTGTCCTGAGGGTTACTTGGGAAACCTGAAGACTAGAGCCTTGACATTACCAAAGGGGGGCCATGCTGGAGAACGTTGGGCTGTAGAAACTTGGTTCAGATTTATCCCTCCACCCATGTGGCATTTTTTCATGCTAAGAACATCTTTTCTGCTGTTGAGTTTCATCAGCCAGATGCCAAATTTGCATTTTCCTGGTTTCTTTTGTTATGTCTCTGACACTTTGAGGATAAACATGATTAAACGCTCTGCATGTTTGAACATTTCTTGTTAGGATGGCGGATCCTTGGATCAAGTCCTGAAAAAGGCTGGCAGAATACCAGAGCAGATTCTTGGCAAAGTTAGCATTGCTGTAAGTATGTTGTTTTGGCATGCGAAAAGCCAGATCCCAAGGCAGTCGGTGTCCCCAGGTAGCACCCAGAAGGGAGAGACCACTGAGAAAGTTTTTCTTGAAGGCAAAGAGAAATCAGACTCTGCTTCTGAAGGTCTTCCTTTTCCTTTCGAAATGAAGGCCTCAAATACGGCTGACTTCATGCGAGACGCACAACCAGGGAAGTCCCCCAAGGGTTCAGAATCTTGTAGAGTTTTATGCGTCCATCCCTGGAGGACACATTTGCTGGGTCCTGTATCTCCCCACAAAAAAAGGACTCGAGTGTCCTTGGAAGAACTGTGAATTATTCCTAAAGACCGATCCAGATGGGTGAACATTTGTGGGTGCTGTTGCCAGAAGTCGAACCTGATGGTGTTTAACAAAGCTCTCCATTCCCTGGCACACAGTGTGTCACAGAGAGAGAGAGAGAGAAAAAACAATGTGCAAAATAACCCCCCCGCTGGTTCCTTCTGTCTATTTACCTCTCTCCTTGCTTTCCATCTCGGCCACCCTCAGCCGAAACAACAAAAATAGTTTCTCGGTTTTCCTAAAGGTTTAAGACGAAGTAGATGACCTGCCCCGTGGAAATTGCTCCTGTGCTTGGTTAAGGTCCAGGCAGCTGTTCTTCTTTTTTAAAAACAGTGGTCCTTGAGAAAACGATGCAAGGAATAACCTGGGCACGCCTGCCGGGAGGTTCTACCAAGGGGGATCTCATCTGGTGGTTTGCCCTGGGATTCCAGAGCTCATAATCCACAGCTGTGCAGCGCTTCGGATTCAGTTGCGAAAAGCTGCTTCGAAGCGTGTGGAGGGCAGCTGTGTCGTCTGCAGCAAAGAGGTGGCTGCTTTAAAGAGCTCCGTGCCTGAAATTATTTTTGAAGCACCACACAGCCATAAAAATCTCAGAGAAATGGTCAATTGGAGCAGGGTGCCTGTTAGGCTGGGGTGTTTTCCCCTCCTTTCTATTAAGGAGGAACATCGTTACATTCCTTTGAATTTTATTCCATTGTACATTGATCATCATTGTTCGTTTCTTGCAATGAGAACATTGTTTTGATCCACAGGTCATAAAAGGACTAACGTATTTGCGAGAAAAGCATAAGATCATGCATAGAGGTAGGTGATTTATCTTTCATTTGAGCCGGTCCTAAAGGCAGCCAGTTTTCCTTCGCTAGACATAATTTGCTAAGCTTGCAAGCCGGGGAGTAGGTGGGGGGAACAAAAGTCAACGAAGTCAAGATGGCAGCCGTGACTAGGCGACTGAAACTCTACCCCAAGGGGGTTGACATCCCTCCCACCCCCACCGATGCCCCTGCTTGCAAACCATCTGGGGGTTGGTTCATCGAGGCTGCCCCATTCCCCTGGCTTGAGAACCGGGGGATATTTTGAGAGGATTTAAAGCCTCATCCAAGGCGTAGACTTCCAGCCCACTTTCTACCTCTGATCCCTGCGTGAAGTTTGCCACTTACGTTGGCTCCCCTTGAGCACTTGCTTCAGAACAGCAGGGGGGCTGTACCCCAACACGACTCTGTCACAGCTCCCCAGGAGCAAATTGTGCCATTTGCGCAAGTCGATGCGCTCGATATTCTCGCATCCGCCAGCCTGTTCCTGCTAGTCATTGTTGGACGCTGAGGTGGTAGAAATCAATAAGGGAGTTCAGAGAAACATGAGACGAAAAAAGGCTGAGAAAAAGGAGACAGACGAAGCCGTGAGAAGCCTTGCTGGAACTGGATGTTGCTTTGATCTGGTTGCACCGAGACGATTAAAACTTCAAAGCCCTTTCTGCTCTCCCTCCGGACCTAAGTGATCTCCAGGCCCTTTTAAATGGCTGCAATGCGACTGCTCTCCGGTGGCAATTTTTCTTTTTCTTTTGGTCATTGTATTTATTTGGGTTTTTTCCCTCTTACAACTCAAGGAAAGTGGGGCGGGGGTGGGTGGGTTGCTTTTTGGCCTCACAGCAGCAGCCTTGCAAGGTAGGTCAGACTGGGAGATAATAATTGCCCCAGTGTCAGCCCTTCGGGGTAGACCAGATCAGGCAACTGACTCCATTTGGGTATAGGCTATACCCAGTAACAGCATCTTGCAAGCCTGAATGTGCTTTTCCTCCCCAGTGAATCAGGGGTGGGCCTGCTTATCTTGCTTCCCCAGGCTTAAAGAATATTTCAGCCCCATTGCTTATGTGATGGTTCTTGCCTGTTTCACTTTAGGTCAGTGTTTTTCAAACTTGGCAACTCGAAGATGTGTGGACTTCAACTCCCAGAATTCCCCAGCCAGCATGGCTGG